CAGAAGCAGTATATATATATTTATATAGATAGCACAATAAAGACACAAAGAATAGAAAGGAAAGAGAGAAAAACGTAGAAAATTAAGAAAATTAATATGTTTTATTTATTTCGTTTTTTTAATTTCGTGCGTTTGTGGCATTGCTCTCTGAGCCTATTTTTATTTGAGAGATTATTGTTGCATGCTTTATTGTTGTATGCTGTAATAATGTTATAGTGTTACCAGAAATAGTTTTTGAGTTTTGAAAGATTTTTCCTCAAAAATGAGGAAACTTCTTTGAAAAAAATTAAAAGTTGTCAGTTTATAATTTTTTTTTAAAAAAATTACTTCCAAAGTCATCTATTAACATTTATAACAATGTAAAGATGTATATGTAAATATTCTAGGAAAATAACTGAAGCAATATCCTGTTTAGTTGCTGGGAAAGGCTACTTCGAAAAAGGTCAGTTTTAGCATTATTGTATATGCCCTACCAATGACTCCCCTTAAATGTTTCTGCTTTGCCAACAATTCACAGATAAAAATTATAATATTCATTAAGTTATCTGAAAACACGGTACACAAATTCCGAAAATGAACACTTGTTGTATTACTATTTTGATGAACAGATGATGCGAGAGTACAACTTGCTCTATTTAACCGTGCTACAAATTATCCTTTTAAATTAACGCTTATTACATTATTTAAAAAATTTTATTATAAATAATTGTTGCCCAATCCGGTAGCTTTATAACATTAAGTTTATCCAAGCACTTTTTTGAAATGCAGTTATCATTCACGCAGTTATCATGCAGTTCACGCCGGGAAAAGTGAAAATACTAATACGGGAAAAGAGAAAATACTGGTAGAAGAACTATTTCAATATTAGATAATATTCGGGAGGAGTTAATCTATTCTCAACAATTCACTGTAAGGAAATTTATCACGGCGAAGAAGCAATTTAAGATAAAAATTGCATCCGTTAAAAACAATTGGTAGTTATGGATTTTTATTAGTCCCGGAAAAAAACTAAAAATTTAAATTTATTGTTACCAGTTTTTACACCGGTGCGCTGCCAAGATGAGACAATCTAGCGTGAACGTGTTAAAAGAAATTCGAAGTCACTCTTAGCTTCACAATTTTGTTTCTTAGCTGACGTAAGGTTCGTCACCATCGTAATTTTAGAAGTTAATAATGTATGACTTTTTGCAGTGATTTTTGGTGATATACGTGTCATGGTACATGTAAATCCATTTTATTATCCTACAACAAACACACGAACCGAAACATACTTAAACGTCCGAAGCGAAATAAAGGTTTAAAAGCAAAGAAGGTAGAGATAAATGGGCGGATTGAATAATAATGGAAGAAATGAATGATTGAAAGCAAAATATTCACATAAACAAATTGTTCTAAACTTCATTTTAATTTCTTTTAATAATTACGCAAGTTTTCAGTAGTTTGGAGCTTTATTTCAATTTTAACATTTCTGGAAAATTAACACAAGAAAGAGATGCGTTTTATCAACGAAGATCGGTCAGCTATGCTTTTTCTTCTAATTTTTTAACCTTTTTCCTTAGGTTTATTTGTATTTTAACAACTTATATTGGAATAAAATCCTTAAAACTCTGGTATCTCTAATCACTGAAGTTTATAACAGTTTCTATCCTATGAATTATTTCTTTCCAATGTAATTTCAAAGTAGTATTAAAAAGTATATAAATCCAATCGATAAGTACTAAGTAAGCCTAAATGATTCTTTCAGTTTTAAAGGTCTCTTTATTTGCAAGTATACCACATATAATGACGGGATATGAATGGAGAGATACACTCTCTCACCCAGTGTCTGGTAAATATTACAAGTGTTCAATATGTTCACCCTTGATCACCTGACTCACAACCCAACCGTAATCCTGCCCCGGCCATTCCATCTATTCCATGCTTCTATCAATGTCCGACACAGAAGCAGTGATGCGTTACTTATTAAGAAAAAGCGTACATGTACCTCCAGCGCCAAATTGTAATTGTAATGAGCAAAGTTTATGTACCAAAAATACTAACAACACTGAAGATACGCATCACTGCTCCTGTGCCGGATAGTCATGGAAACAAGACATTAAGCGAGAACCGGAACTAGATTACGTTTGGGTTGTGAGTCAGATGATCAAGGATGCACTCATTGAACATTCGTAATATGTCTCAGACACTGGTTAAGTTCGTGCATCTCTCTATATACCATCGGTCTTTTTACGTCATATAATTGCGAATAGACTGGCCTTTGTTACTTAATTAATCATTTAGGGTAAGCCTTTATATAAATTGAATGAAATGTATAAATATCAAAGGTTTCACAGGATCTAAATGTTGTTTCATTTTCAGGACTTAATTTTTAAAGAATATTCTAGCATGCATTCAAAACTAGACTTCATACATAAGTATTTAATAAGTAAACATTATCAAAATTGATCACTGATTTCAAGATCTTTATAACTTTGAAATATAAGCCCTATTTTTTGGTACCTTTCGATTCGGCGTGAATAAATACGTAAGAAATAATATATTTTGCTTATCTAGATAACAATGTCAGACGAGTGAAAAATTAAGCTTACTATATAAAAATACTTTTATAACATTCAGATAATATGTCTTAGCGACTTTTTCTTTTTTTTTGGCCTCATTCGATTCAGAGAAAAGAAATGCCTAAAAAATAATACTCATTTGTTTAGAAAGTAATGTTAACTCTGTCCTTATTTTGACCTTACCAGTAAAATCAAAATGTCATTTACCGTTAATTATTGCGGCATTCGATTACTCAGAAACTTGCTGATTAGAGTTAAGAAAACTATTTTTCTTAAAAACTTTCTGTTTTTATCGTAAATGAATTATTTTGATGTTATAATTTAAATCTCCGTTTTAATTTTTGGAACTGCGAAAAGGGGTATTTCAAAATGACTAATCCTAAATAAAGTATTTTCATTTTTATTGAATTTTTGAAATAAAATGTGCCAATCTGCAAAGAAAAAATTATTTTTTATTATCAGAAGAATATTTTTAATCAATCGCACTCTCAGAACACTTTTACAATTTCTCAAATTTTAAGTTTTTTAGCTTAAAAGCATCCAAACACATATAAAATCACGTTGACTACCTAAATTATCTTCGTTGCATAAGGTGCATAAGGTGCATAAAAAGTTTCACAAATTTAAGCAAGATTTGAATTAAATAGAAAATTAATTAATTTAGTATTATCAATAAAATGAAACACAGTTATACTGCTGAAAGTTAAGGGTTAGTAACAAAGCGGGCGACAATTAAATACAGCTTGTTTTCATTGTTGAAAGCCCATAGGACAATCCAGTTACTGCATGCGACATAACCAGGTCTTATACAATCACCTTTCTATGATCAGATTTAGCCCCCTATTTCATGTAATTTAACAGAATTGAATTACTTTACATGGAGTTATTTAAAGCCAAAGATGGGCGTAAACAAGACTACATTTACCCGTACAATGAAGGGGTACGCTGCATCTACAAAATTTTGCAACATTTATGCAAAACGGTCTTGGAAAATTACAAAAAAGGAGTGTGCATATGTCAACAAAGCCGTAAAGGTCAGTCATACGATCAGTGAGTTCCTCAAAAAAATATAACCTTATTCTATATAATTTATGTTTGTTCAATAAGAAATATTTATTTTTTTAATTGAAAAAAAATGTTAATTTATTATTTTTATTATTTTTTGAAAGTGTTTCATTGATTTGATAAACTTTTGTTCAATTCAAAATATTTTACTCAATTGTTCAATTCAAAATATTTTCAAAATATTTTACGCCAAATACTCATAGAGACATTCCAAATAAGTAAATATTTAATTAAATTGCATTCATTCTTACCAATGCATACGGCATCTTTTTGTCCTTTTTTACCAAGATCTTTTGGTACGAAACCATCCTTACACTCACAAGTGAAATCGCTGCCAGCCTCTACACATTTTGTATTTTCTCCTTTACAGTCAGTGTCTTTGCATTTATGTTTTGCTACCAAAAAGTACACAAAATGTAAGTACTTTAAACAGAAATATGATATACATTATACTTTACTTACAAATAGAAATGAATTTCTTAAGGATCATAAAATTTTTCTTCAAAATTTTTTTGTATATTTTTAGTTATTCCCATAACTACCTTACATTTTGCATGTGGTATTTAATTATTGAATTGAGATATTCTATAATTGATAAAAACATTGATGCCTATGATGAAAATAGGAAATTGATTAAAATATAAGATTGATGATTATAATAGGAAAAAAATTGTTTTAGAACTACGTATTTATTCTTACCAATGCATGCGGCATCTTTTTGTCCTTTTTTACTAAGATCTTTTGGTAAGAAACCATCCTTACACTCACAAGTAAAATCGCTGCCAGCCTCTACACATTTTGTATTTTCTCCTTTACAGTCAGTGTCTTTGCATTCATGTTTTCCAGCTAAAAAGTATACAAATGCAAGGAATTTAAACAAGAATATGGTAAAGATTATTTCTTACTTACAAATGAAACTGAATTTTTTTGAGTATCATCAAAATACAAATATTTTTCTTAAACTTTTTGTTGCATTTTTTAATATTTCATATCTACTTTAATTTTTTCTTTGAGGTATTTAATTATCTTATTATTAATAAACATAGATACATTGAAACACTGAAGTAAGGAATCTATCGTTTTAGTGCTACGTATTTATTCTTACCAATGCATACGGCATCTTTTTGTCCTTTTTTACTATTGTCTTTTGGTACGAAACCTTCCTTACACTCACAAGTGAAATCGCTGCCAGCCTCCACACATTTTGTATTTTCTCCTTTACAATCAGTGTCTTGGCATTTATGTTTTGCTACCAAAAAGTACACAAATTGTAAGAACTTTAAACAGAAATATGATATATATTATACTTTACTTACAAATAGAAATGAATTTTTTGAGGATCATCAAATTTTTCTTAAAAAATGTTTTGTATAGCTTTAGTACTTTCTATAACTACCTTATTTTTTTGCATGAGGTATTTAATTATTCAATTGAGATATTCTATTATTGATAAAAACATTGATGTCTTTAAAATGGGAAAAAAATCGTTTTACAGGTACGTATTTA